GAAATATCCCTGCTCTTTTTGGAAATTTTTTTTTTTTCTTTGTGGGTTCCAATTCAGAAGATAGTAAAATTAACTTTCATAATTTACGTGGCAGAGAACATTGTATCCCTAGCTTCTTGGCTTTCTGCTCAACTTGATACCTGTTATGAGCAGAGAAAGCATCCTATTCATTGAGATATGATTTAACATATACTATTTTCCTCTCATTTCTGTGAACAGGTTTCTTGTGGTGATCCCTAGTGGATGACTGCAATCCACTTGAAATGTAGATGCTGTAAAAACCAGGAAAGCAAACCGTATTTATAATGAAAAAAATATTTTATACAGTAAAAAACCCACCTTTGTTTGTTTTTGTATCAAGTGGATCAAAAATGCTTGCCCCAAAATGAGATTTCTTTTATTCTGTGTATTAAAATGGTTGGATTCTGTAAAAGTATAATGGTCCTTTTATGGAAGTAAAAGAAGCCATACTGCAATATTGAAAGGGACTGTAGAAATCATTAATTACTTAGTGCATGAACACATGAACAAGTTACTACTGGGTAAAAAAGGGTGGAGACTTTTATAGTGTGTTAGATACTTCTGGCAACTGCCCACATGCATGTTCTAACTACAGTGAATGGAAGTTAACTTGTGACATTTGCCCCTCAGTGTGTACCTGGGTATCCACTGTTAACATCCTGAATTCTAGTCCTCATTTAACTTTTATAGTAACTTGTTTCTATGTGCATGTGCTTTTCTTTGATCCCTGTTTAAGAGCTGTTAAATTTAAACCAACAAGTTCTGTACTTAAAATTAACTAGCCAGCATTTGACTAGAAATAAACTTAACAAGCAAACGAAAATTTCATCTTTCCTAACTTTTTAGGCTGTCAGGAATTTCAGATTTGTTTAACAACATGGACATTGTAAATGGATGCTTTGTGAATAAGCCATTTGCAGAGCTGTGCACCCATAAAGCTTATTAATTTACCATTGAGGAGTTAGAGACAAGTAAACCCTGTTATTCCTAGTACCGTTGATCTTTTTCTCCTTACCGATAGAGAAACAAAACTTCTACTTTTGATTCGTCAAATCCCTGAATCCAATTCCATATTGCATTCTGTTCTGATTGACGTTAATGAAAAGACAGACCTTTATCCCAGGCATCCAAAATAAAGATTTATCTTGATACCTAATGAAAAACATGAAGAAAAGGAGGCACGTTGGGCATATAGATGTGATATATTTTTTTACAAAAGGATAATTTATTGATTCTTGGGCTTCTGTGAATGTGGGTTGGTAGAGGTATATGGCCAACATAGACTGGAACAATTCTGATTCTGGAATTTTCCTTAAAATGGAATATATACGCTGTTACATATTTGCGTAAAATGAACAGAGATGGCATTTAGTATTTTACCACCCATGTGGCTTTGTAATGATTTATAAGAAAGACCCAAGCAAATTTTTACCTGAATTGTACCCATTACATCAGAAATAGCAATGTAACTCTGTGTTTTGTAAATTAGTTTTATTCAGTAGGCAGCCTTCCTTTTGCTTTTTACAGTAACAGTTGTCTGTCAAAAACTCAGCAGTCTACAGGCTCATGATAATATGATGCAGTGACATCTCATAACAGAGGTGCTAAAAGAAAAGAAGGAAACATAAATTCTACTGCAGCTGGACCAGTCTGAGTTAGGAATCACTAGTATAGTGCATGACTACTGAGATATTGACTGTTTGCTATTTTTAAAGATGGTCTAAATCATTATATGGTTTCATGGACTTTGATACTGAACGTGATATTTAAAAAACAAAGAAGGAAAGGAAAATGAAAGTGTGGGTCAATTGGAAGGTCAGCTAACCTTAAATGTCCTATTTTTTAATGCTAGTTTAAAAAAATTGCATTGTACAGCTAATAGTGTATTGTGAGTACATGAAACTTAGGGTTATTTTTTTCTCTGCTAATGTACTTATATAAGAAGAGGTCTTCCTTCACTGTCTTATTTACTTTCAAGTTTTCAAAAAGTTGTGTTTAGTGTATAAGATCTCAATTTATTGACTTATCTATTTACCAGCGTATTTAAATGTAGCAGTTTTACTTATCCAGGTGGATTTTTGAGAGCTTTTGTTCCATTGCTGCTGATGTCCAGTTGTGTGGCTGCTCTAACTTCTAGGTTCTAGAGTGATAATTTATTGTTACAGGAGAAAAATGGTCTTGAACTGCTACCTTGTAAAATTAAAAATAAGAAAATTCAGAGATTTCATGACAATAGTGTTCATATAATATTGTCCCCAGGGGGTTCAATAAAGCATGTCATGGGGAGGAAAACCCACTGTCCCTTCATCCCAAGGATGTGTTAAGATCCTTGGGAAAATTCCACGTACTGTATTACAGTTCAAATGTGGTTAAGCCCAAGTAGGTAGATAGAGTGCAAGACTCTTTATCATGTTGTCCAGGTTGCCTGCCTTCTGTTGCTAGGGCCAAAGCCCTTCTTCCTTATTGATTGCAAAACTAAACGAAATTAACTCTGACAAAATCATTTATTCAACTCCCTATGGGGATCACCAACATAGTGAAGCATTATAAAATCTCTCTTTGAACATTCCCCGTAAAAAGCTCAGGGGGACAAAACTGGTTAAGAAAGCAATACTATCAACTTTGCAGTACAAATGAGTGTGAACAAACTGGCTGTTGGAAAAAGTACCTGAGTATCCGTAAAAGGTTGTACAGTATGTAATGAAACACTTGCTTCTGAGGGAGAAGTACTGACCAAATTAAAAGGAATTAAAACAGGTATTATTTTTAACCATTTAGCCGTCACTCCTGTAGCACTCCAGTGACTTAGGAAGCAAAGGTCACAAGTTCAGTGGTATTCATTGCCTCAACCGGATTCTTAATTAAACAAATTTAAAGTTATAAAATCACAGTAAAGTCAAAAGTCCCACAGTTTTCATTCACAGTGTGTGTGGTAAAATACAAGCATCAGAAGTAAGTAAATCTTAGTCTTAAAAACTTAGAAGTATTTTTCTAAAATATATATCTGAGTTCATCAGTAAGCCAAAGGCTGCTGAAATGTGTTTGGCAGTAGTCCCTGCTGCCTCCAAACACAGCTGAACAAACAATCCACAGCTTGCATAGGAAGAAAGGCCAATCAAGTAGGAGGGCAGTAGGGGACAGTATGGGAGATTTTGTGTCCCCATGAGACGCACACAGACTGCCACCTCTGTATTTACATAGACTGTAGGAACTGTGTTTAGTAATTGATTGATCCCATGGCTAGGATGTTAAATACCTTTCTAGTTTCCTGTGTACATTAAAGAACTAAAATGAATTTAAATATACTTTCACAATGCACAAACATTTAACTAAAGGAGAATTCAGTGTTAGAACCCAAGCCCTTTGGCTGTTGACCTTGTTTGTGTAGAAAGAAAGATGAATCAGCAGGAGGGACTGGAAATGTAGGAAACCTCCATTGGAACAGGTTTATTATAACCATGTCAACGATGTGTCAGCTAAGGTCAGATGGGTCTTTTTGATTTAGTGACTTTTGGCACACATTCGCCTGTCTGAGCTAAATACAGTCTGTTGGGCTTCTTTTCTGAGTGATTATTCACACAGATTCCATACTAGGTGTGCATGGTGTTGCATGTGCATGAGGTGAAATGGTTTTTGCATAGCAGTGTCTGAAGTCATATCCCCAGCTTGCCTTCCCTTGTGGCCACTGTATCATAGGCTATAAGGGGTAGGATAAACTTGACCACCATTTAATTTGGCCTCATTTTCTGTGTCTGCAAGGTAGAACACCAGTAGCACCCATGTTCTGTGACTGTTTGACACAGTTTACCTTAATTTTTCCATGGAGTAAATTAGTATTAGAAACTTTGATTGTTGACTTTAAGCAACTTTTTCTCTCTAGATAGTTTTTCTTTCTATAGTTCCTCCTCCATACAAAGGACTACATCTTCTGCAGTGGGAGATTCCAGGTCGTTGCCTATCTTGCCCACAAACAATAGTCTGCTTCCATTGGTTTTGCTTGTTTTGGGAGGTTATAAAGGAGCACCTCAGTGTCTGTCATTCATTCAACAAAAGAACCCTAAGAACAGAGAAACAATATTTCAAACTGCTCTTGCTCGAAGTGTGTGCAGTCTCCTACTGGTAGATCAGACAAACCAGAAGCAGATCACTCTTACCCTGGTTTAGTGCAACCAGGTGGTGGATCAGTATCTAGCTCCTGAGCTGCCTCTCTGCGGACACTTCTTCTGCACCAGCAGTTATTTAGAGAGGATAGGAAGGAACCCAGCTCCTTTGGCAGTTCAAGGTGCAGGTCACTTTATATAATCTCAGGTAAGAGATTCAAAATTCTTTCTTGGGCTTTGTTCTCCAAGTGTAATAGTTCTAAGTCTTATACTGGTAACTAGTACCACTATCCAAATGGACATTGAAAATTACTTTAGACTTCAGTGATGACATTGTATTCATTGGCACAGATTTTGGCACCCAAACTTTTAGTCACCAGTTGTCTTTTTCTTAGCATCAGTTGTGCCCTTTGCAGTTTCAAAGGACATTGTAGCAGCGGTTGCACTGGGAATTCTCATTCCAAAACTCTTCGTGTCACCTGATCTGTCTGGTTTTGGTACTAGTCTCCTTTTAGGAGCATGTGACAGAGATAATCTATAAACCCTAGTTTTTCAACTTCATTAGACACAGTACTAATAGATCAGTTACTCTGGATCCAGACCCCACCGTGTTTAGAAGAGGTTTGCTGTTTTTCTTCTCCAGACCACAGTAGAAGTTCTTCCATGCTTTACTACTTCTTCCTGATAGTTTGCCAGATCCAATGCTGGAACTTGCACCCAGACCCAATGTTGAGCTACCTGACGTCCTGAATGCTGACTGGATGCCTTTGTTTAAAGTAACTGCTTATGTGAAGTGCAAACCCTTCTCCTGCATAAAAACGTCTTCCACCAGACTAACATATGACTAATATAAAATGTTTTCTCTTTGCATGTATTTAGCAGAATCCTCTGCTTTTGACTGCTTCAGTACTGCCAATATCAGACTGGTTATTTGCTGTGAACCAATCTGCCTGAACCCACTGCCTGAGATGCCATCACTAGATTTTTGGGACCCCTTTTCATAGCAACTTGCTCTCTTTTGTCACCTGTGTGATGGCTGTTACCTCTACTAGAAGGTTGGGTGAAATTCAGGCCCTCTGCCAACTGTATTGCTTAAGAACAAAGACATACTTGGACTTTATCCCAAGGTGCTTCCCAAAATAATTTTTGATTCCCACTTTAATTAATTAGCCCAGCTTCTACTTCATTTCCTCCAAATCCTCATTCTACCCCATGTAATACAAAATTGTATACTCAAAATTGGGTTAGGGCTTTTCATTTATATTTGGACAGATCCTCTTCAAGTTTGTGGCATTAGCAGAAAGGGTTAAAGGATGCCCTGTAGCCAGCCACCCAGTAGCTGCCCACATTACCAGGAAGAATTCTCTGGGTTGTTCTGTAATCCTTTCAACTGAGATACAAGCAGTCTCTTTTGCTGCTTTGGGTAATATATCAATATTAGAAACTTGTACAGTTCCTTGTACAGCTCTAGTCACACATTTATTTCTGTTGTTCTCTTGTTCTTTTAGATTGGGTGCCAGGTTCCAGTTACAACTGCCCTGCAGTCCCTCTTTAACTAGGAAACCATTTCTGATCTCCAGGCTTGCAGTAACTAAATGTCACCTATGTAGAGTGTAATCTTTGTGGACTGTTGCTCAAAGAAGAGATCATAGTTGCTTATTTTGGTTTATGTAGTTTCCATGACCACTCCTTCTTCCTTTCTAATTTGGAATTCTATTGATAGGGATTCTTATTAGGAAAGGAACTGAGTCCTGTTTGAGGGCATCCTGTCCTTTTCACGCTTGGCTACAGTCATTGTGATAGCCTGAAGAGGGCAGATGGACACTACTATTCAAAGAGAATCCCATTTTGAGCAGGTGGGACTCAGGTATCCAGCTTGCATTAAATGCCAGTTGGATTCCTGTCTCCTAAATTCTTTGAAAAAAGAATGGTTACTCTAGAGCAACAGTAGTTCTTTGAGATGTATTGCTTAATTCCTGATTCCACTTTAGATGTGCCTGGCACTGTGGAGATGCTTTAAAAACCTCACCTATTATCCTTTTATGTAGTTTTTTTTTTTTTTAAATCTTGATTCCTCCAGACTTGCTATAACAAGGTAACTTAGATTTCAAATATCCAGTAGGGGGAATATCAAACAGAAATGACATTTATATGCCCATCTCCTGCTGAATATCATTTGGAGCTGGGTACCTGCACTGTTACTTGTACCTTTACAAAACATAAACAAGTGCAACCTGCTGCATTAGCTTCATGTTGCCTATGCCAATCCATCTGAACCCTCTAACTTCATGTATAATTACTTATAAATACCAGATCTTCTCCGTCATCACTCTCCTGCCAGTTTCAACAGGCATGATATTTAGGCAATTCATTCTTTCCACCAGCATATTTAATTATTGGGTCTCAAGTGCTAGGTTTTATCATGAAGGACCATCCCAGCAGCTTTAATGGGGATGGGGTAAAGATCAGGCAACGGAGGGACTGCTTTCTGGACTAGAATGAGCTGTGAGCTGATAAGCTCTTTTATGCCAAGTACTTTTCTGCCTGGATAAGAATTTTGTCATTCCTCTAGGAATCCTTCTTTTCCTCAGTTCTTACAGAATCTGTCCATATCAGATGAAATTGAGAGGTGCTAGTAGGGCCAGGAACAAGCACCGCAGTAAAATCACCTGGACTAATGTCTTCTGTTCAGTAGGAATGCCAGATACTCAGAATACCTTATTCTGGACCAGCTATTTAAGAGGCTGCTGCAAACTCTTCAGACCCCTGCCCTCTCTGAAGTCAGTTAAGTATTACCTTCTTAAGGAATCCACTTATTATTTGTATTTTCATTGTTAGTTTAGTTGATAGGGCTGTGGCCTGGGGGAAGATTAGTTCATACTGTACAGTTTTCTCCCACTATGTGTTCGAGTGCTTCTCAGTTTAAGTCTTTGAAAAATATCTTCACTGTTTGTCATTTTTCAGATTGCCAGCCAATTTTAAATAGATTTGTAAAAGGACAGAAGTTAGCACTAGCAGAAGAAAGATAATATTATATGCACTTTATGATGCACGTATATTGTGCTGTAGCCAGCATCACAATCTGTGGTACTTCTGCCTCTTCACAAGTACCATCTTAAAAGAATATCATTCACCTTCCTACAGAGCTTAGCAGTTACAATTTCAGGATTATAATGATGATGATCATCATCATCATTATAGTAGTACCTAAGTGCCAAACAAGAATCATGTCCCCTTATGCCAGGCACAGTACAGTGCAATGCCATCCTTGTTGCAAAGTACTTGAAAGAGACCCAGGATGGGAGAAGTTTTGTAACACAGATTGTACTACATGACAGTAAGTTTCATGCTCCACTTTCTGTGGGAGGGAAGGGGGATAAGTATTGGGTAGTTAAGAAAGGATCAAGTAAATGAAAAGAAAAGTAAAGGGGTTTGAAGGATAGAGTAAGGGAGAAAAGGGTAGGGGGCAAGTGTGGAGCAAACAGGTAGTAATCCCAGAACAGAGCAAGTCTACTTAAAAACCTAGTTTTCTGCATGTCCATAGGTTTCTGCTTCAGTTGTTCCTACATCTGTATCTGATCCTGATTTTTTTTTATTTTTTTTTTTTGGCTGTATTTTACCTACTTTCCACTAGTGCTTTGACTACTTCTACAGCTGTTCCTGTCACTCTGCATCCTATTGATGCTCAATTGATCCTTTTGAATGGGCTTTTATTTTTTGGACAATCAGCTCCCATATATTCAAGTAAACAAAATGGAATGTGTGGGTAACGGCTATACTCTGCAGTGGAGGCCAGTGTGTTGTGGGCAGTAGGGGGCTTGGTTTGCAAGTGCCCTATTATCACTGCCCTCAAACAGCTTAAAAAAGCAAAACCCTTTTGATCTTAGAAAGCAGAGCCAGGAATGAGGATGCTGCAGAGAAGGTAGCTTCATTGGAACAGAACAATAAGGAAAATAGTCTTTCATGCTTGGATTGGTTATCAGCAATTCTGTATTGCTTTAGGCAGCAAGGATGCTGTCTTTACATCTACAGATATTTTTAAATAACTAAGGTTGAATAAATGTAATGTTGGTGCTAGAGAATACACTTGCTGCTTTACAGTACTGCTTTGGCTTCATTCCAGCCTGCCAGAAGCAACATCTTTAAAAACATCATTGGGCATTATAAAACCATCTTTTTAGTTGCTACTAAATGTTCAACACTTTTCTTGACTTCATGCCTTCCTTTTTATTTTAAAACAATCAAATTAGGAGAAGCCATTTCTGTCAGAAGCAGCCAGGAGAAAAGAGAAGGACCTGGTATCTAAAGAAATAGAGAAGTTTCGTGGATCTATTCAGACCTTGTGTCGGAGTGCACTTCCGCTTGGGAAAATCATGGACTACATTCAGGAGGATATGGATGCCATGAAGAATGAGCTGCAAATGTGGCAGCATGAGAACAAGCAGCATGCTGAAGCTCTACAAAAGGAGCAAAAGTAAGGCAAATTTGGGGAGGGAGTGCTTAGGAATAAAGTTGATTTCAAGCTATCTGAGGTTACTGTTCCAAATTGCTGTTTATGTATTTCCTCAGGCAGAGCCAATTTAACTTACTTTAAGAAGTAATATAGTTTGTGATAAATTTACTTAAGTTTTGGTTTTAACCCAAGTTTTAATCTTTTTAGGTCTTCCATTATGGGAAATGAGTTATGTGGCAGAGATAGAAACATCTGAAATGCATGAGATCCATTGTACTAGATACTGTGCACATACGCGTGCACATGCAAACACACACTCTAAAGGCAGTGTCTGTTCCAGAGAGCTTGCAGTCAGCATTTCAGCCAAGAATGCAAGTGATGGGCAAAGTAGACAAACAGAGTAGTAGGGACTGGGAGGATAAAATAATCACAAAGGAAAGTAAAGTTTAAGCAAAAAGCAGTTTGAAGCACAAAATTATTATTAGCCAGTGAGCCATATAGTAAAACATTGGGGTAAATCTTCAGCAGTATTCTTTTTGTCCATGTTCATTTTTCCTTCAGATAGCTCACTCTAGACTTTCTCTCTTCTGGGGAGGTTGGGTACAATTTAGAAATTCTTTGAGATTTCCAAATACTTCATGTACTGTCTCAGAGGCATGGGTAATGCAAAACAGACTATTTTTTTCCAAGATGTGCTCTTTGTCTTTTTCAGCATCACTGACAGTGCTGTGGAACCCTTAAAAGCAGAACTGGCAGAGCTGGAGCAGCTGATTAAGGACCAGCAAGACAAGATTTGTGCTGTGAAGGCTAACATTTTAAAGAAGGAAGAAAAAATACAGAAGATGGTTCTTAGCATTAACTTATCGTCAAGAAGGTGAAGAAGAGAAAAATGAAGCATTGTCCTGATTTATATTTCTACCAAATAAAGACAGTAAAGGAAAAAAATAAAGCTAGTAAGAACAGTGACCTGTACAATTTCATATTCTTACATTCTACTCACTTGTGAGGTTGGTTTTATCAGTAATAAGCTTACAACAACTCAGATATTACAGAATGGTCAACATACCTATTTTGAATATGTCTTTAGACAGAGGCTGCTGTTATTTGGTTATTTTCTACTTCCAACACATTTCCTCTCCTTGGCCTATTTTTATAAATATCTGCAGCTTATACCTTCATGTTTCCCCCCTACTCCATCCATTTTGGGTGATTTTGAACAGGAATGGAATATCCTGTTGTGAGAAATGTTTTTAGCTTCTTTCTTTCTTTTTGCAGAAATGTCTGAAATCCCTACAAATCAGATGGGTCTGAAATACCTTCCATTATTTACAAGTCCTGAAAAGAAATCTGTAAAAGAATACTTATTGATCTAGAGCTAAAGCTTTGTTTAACTTACAGCTCCTTATGTTATCACAAGGGTGATGTCATATTTTCATAGCTATCGAGAAATATTATTAGGAACTATATAAGAAACCATACAAGCATCACCAAGCAAGGGATCAAAAGTATTTTATCTGCACAGGTGTTAATTCCATTTTTATTGCAAATGTTCATTTGAAAAGGATTAATTTAAGCACCCATTTCCTCCCAAATACATGGTCATATAAGTTTTTATACATGAATAATTCCACTGATCTTAGTTAACTACAGATGTCTGCAGTGCTTTTCTACTGACCTCTCTAGTGCACGGTGTGTGTAAGGGCCCAGCCCTTCCAATTCATAAATTGGAAAAAAAACTATTCAAATATTGCATAAATCATTGCAATAAAGTCGTCAGAAATATGGAAATTTCTAGCACTGTACAAACTTTTAGGCATTTTTTCAAGATTTTTTTTTGTTTACAATAACATTTTATGTTCCCATTATTTATTGTGTAAAACTACCAAACCATTTTGCCTTTTTTGTTGAGAAATCGGCATTTTGTGGCTTCTTGACCTTTTTTTTGTATTCACTGCTGCAAAATGTGATTTACACTTTCAAACTATGGACATCAGGCTACAGAAATTTTAAAAAATCATTGAGGATTTAAACAGTTCATTGCATTGTTTTTGCTAACTATGGACTAGATTAATGCCTTCAGCTATGGTCTAAATTGTCCATAGAACAATGTTAGTGTGTGAGCACTTTCTAGCTTTAAGTTATTTTGATTCTTTACTCATTTTTCCCTTGATTGACAGATTCCTCACTATAATGAGAGTTTTGAGGTAATATCTTAACATAGTACAGTTGTTTGAAAAGAATATTCTCTTTCTACTACACTATTACTTTACATTTTTTTTTAGCGATTGGTATAAACAAAATAATCGCATTAACTAGGATGCCATAATGTTTTTCTAAAAAAAAAAGCTGTGAAAAACTACTTCATATGATGTGGAGTTCAGGTCTTTCCTTATGATGAGTCCAAAAATGGAGTTAGGCTAAAAGAAAGTAGGACCAAGTCTTCTGTTTATGCTAAAACTGTGATGCATATGTTGATTGGTACTTGGAGGTGAGTGTCTTAGTTGTTTGCTTGCAACATGTTTTATCTTCAGACTTTCCCTGTCGGTCTTCAGGATTGCATGTATGCTTTGCATCATTTGTAAATATGGCTAGGACTGTTTGTGCAGGACTCGCATTCATGCATTGTATGTGAGTAAAATTGTACAAAGTAGAATATCAAATTGTATCAAAAACTTATTTTTCTTTTATGTAAAAAAATAATTAAAAATGATCACCTATTTTTCTATGAAGTGTTTGGATTGTAAAATTCACATTTTAAAGACTGATAAACTGTATTCAAATGATCTTTCTGGGGAAAGAAAGTGATCTTTTTTTTTTTTTTAATCCCCTTCTTTGGGGAAAAAAAATATGGCAGCGAAAAATGTGAATTGTTGTTGGTCTGATAATACCTTCACTGTGCTGCATTACCAGTAAGTCACAACAGAGAGATTAGTATTTGTCAAAAATCTGCCAAAGCTTTAATAATGAAGTTTGTTTGAGAACATTTTATGTTAGATGCAGATGTTTTTATTAAACAAATTGTTGGATAGCGGCTGGGTCTGGTGGTCTACTGACAGTTGATTGTGGCTGTCATGTTGGTTTTGAAGGTCCCTTTCTTTTGGAGTTGGGATAACTACAGAGGCTGATTACTTAGCCCCTGCAGAACTTGACTGACTCATTTTCCTAGACCAAAGGGAACAACAATTTACTGCCTATTCTTGCAGTTACATCTAAGCTTCAATTGCTGTAAGGGGAGGAGGCTGTGATATGGGGTTTTGGTGGAGGTGGAGAGGAAATAGGGGAATTCTAAAGGAATAAAAAGAGGATTATAATCTATTCTTTACAGCATATGGTCCACTGCCTCTGTGCTTTTGAAATACTGTCTTAATTTTTTATTTCAGTACTCAGGTTTGCTTAAAACAGAAGGTGATGCAGTAAAGCCTGCATCACTGATAATGTCCATAAAGGAAGGAATGCTCATGACTTTACAACTGTGGTTCCATGTTCTGCTACACTTCAATATTTGGCTACTTACACAATGGCAGAGAGGCTGCTTCTCTTTTTGAGGGGTAAGGAGAATTGGGAGATAAGTTCTTTCATGATGCATAAATCACACACAGGTCACGAGTACCTAGTAGGAACTCCCCAAATTCAGGGCTATTAGTCCTAGCTTGGGGGCATTGTGGCCCCCTTGCTGAGGGGCCTAGCATGCTCTTTTCATTCCATCATTGAACAGGTTCATTTCCAAACACAGTGTATGAAGAAATTTGGGCTACTACTGTTCTTTGCATTGATTGTCCAAGCTCTCAAGACATCTCTGTAGCATTGCTGAATGTAGCATACCATTTTTAGTGGAATCCAAGATAAGGCTTTTCCCCATTCAGCATGGTCAAAAAGGCTCCTTGTCTTGGTTCAAGTGCAAGGTGCGGGGCTGGCAGGTGGCTGCTGTGACTCCACCTCTGGCCCCAACCCAGGCCGGGGGTTGGAGCTGCAGCTGCCACCACTGCAGTATTTTCTCCATGGAGGGGGGGAGTTGGGGGCCAGGGCTCAGAGTCAGCCTGTGCTCCATGCTCTGGGTCAGAGCTGAGCTGAAGCTGGAGCCACAACTGAGGGTAAGCAGTGGTGGGAGAGCAGGAGCTTCAAGTCATGGGGTGCAGGTGCCAGGAGTGTGCAGGCACAGGCAGGGAGACAAGTGCCGGGGAGGGAGAAGTGGCAGGGGGGAAAGGAAGGGGGAAGCAGGCATAAAGGGGCAGGGGGAGTAAGTGGCATGGGGCAGGCATCAAGCCACATCCCACGCTGCCTGCCCCCTGCCACTGGTTGCCATGCTGCAGGTGGTGAGGAGGATGAATTTAAGCTGACCCCTATAATTAGATTCTACTAATGGAAAACATATAATTTTCCATGCATAGAATCTAAGTATTAGAGGTTCATCTTAAATTTGAATTTATTTTGCCCCTGCATCTTGTTGGCTGCTCACCTTGATAGTAGGGAGGGCTGCATGGCCCCAGGGCATCTAAGGCACTGAGCAGGACAGGGCCGAGGAGCAGTGCAGACTGAGCAAAGCTGCAGCGTTGGGGGTGGAGGAGCAGCAGGAGGTCCTTGCTGGAGCAGGGTTAGCAGGGGTCATGTTGCCCTGGGGTATCAGTGTGGGGTGAGTAGGAAGCTCCTGGGGTGGGGGCAATATGGTGTAAAACTTCCTGTGGTCAGGTAAGACTTTGGTTGGTATTAAATCCCTATATTTGAGCCCACCCCTTGTTACTGCTGTCCAGTGCATTGCTGTCCAGTGCATTGCTGCACTGCTGTCCAGGGCTTGACAGAAGAGTTGCATTTACATTATATAAAACATCCATCAGTAAAGAAAAAGTTTGGTTGTCAGTAATAAGTTTGTAGATTGTCAATTAAAAGAAACATATGGGGGGGTTGACAACCCTGTACAGAGTCAACTTAGATACTGA